ACAGGAGACAATACAGCTGAATGGGAACACCTCAGGGTTTCAGTTCCTATGATTTTGACTCTTGGTCTTACTGGAATTTCATTCTCAGGTTAGAAACAGTTATTTAAATAGGATTTCTATGGCAATCAAATTTCTTTATTAACCGGTGGCGTTGTTATAATGATCATGCAGGTGCTGATATTGGTGGGTTTTTTGGTAGTCCCGAGACCAAGTTGTTAGTTCGTTGGTATCAAATAGGTGCCTTCTATCCATTTTTTAGAGCTCATGCCCATCAGGACACAAAAAGAAGAGAACCTTGGTTATTCGGGTAGGAATTCTGTAATCATTGAAGTGGCTTTGTTATTCAATTGAGAAAACTGAAGAGTAGTCACTATATCGTGCATTTGCCTACCTTACATAAAAGAAAACTTTTTTTTTTGGTTCATGTACTTTGAAGAGAGATGAGTGTCATGGTTGTGTACTTGGATGGTGGTCATGTCCCTTCTTTTTTTCCGTCATATATATTTTCTTATTTATAAAAAAAAAAAAAAGCTTTTGTCCGTTTGTTTATTTTAAGATGCCTGAATGTTTTGTATTGACATTAGCAATACAATTTCCGCAACCATTTCATTCCCTGTCAATTGTGGAACACGTGGAACAGGTTGGGTAAAGATGCTTCTCACTTTTAACATGATTTCTGAATGGCTTTAAACTGGTAATGGTCACTGCATTTGTGGCTATTAGAGTTATCTGTGTGAAGTTGTAAAGAGATTTTAAGTTTTTGATGTTAGCAATGCAACCTTCTGTGAAAATGTTCATCTTTGCAATTGTGAAAAGAATTTAAGGTTTTTTTTTACTCTCTGCGAGTGTAAGACAAACTTTTATTTGGTTGCTTGTTTTATGTCATGTAATTTCGTATGGTTGGGATTTACTTCTAGTCATGTTTTCTTCCCTGTCTGTTTGTTTCACTATAGAAGTTCTTGTTATTATCCAAAATCTGAACATTTTGTGTACACATGCATGTATTATTTTCTGATTTTGTAGCCATTTGACCTGTTATCCGCAATTAATATTTGTTTTCTTGATCATTACAGAAAAAGAAACACAGAGCTTATTAGAGATGCCATACACATGCGTTATACGTTGCTACCGTATTTTTACACATTATTTAGAGAGGCAAACACGAGTGGTGTTCCAGTTGCTCGTCCATTATGGATGGAATTTCCTTCTGACAAAGCAACTTTCAGCAACGATGAAGCTTTTATGGTCGGAAACAGTCTCTTGGTGCAAGGAATCTACACAGAGGTATATCCATAGCTAGTCTTTTACTGTACAGATCGATATCTGTTATCCCTCTCTTCTCCTTCATAAGTTGATTTTTGTTCCAGTTTGAAATTATTTTGTTTCCAATCCTCTCTACCATCTAGCGACACATGCATATCTGTTTGTTTGCTTTTGACCTGTGTTGCTTGTTGCTTGCTTTTAACCTGTGTTGCTTGTTGCTTGCTTTTTCTTTCTTTTTTTTTTCAATAATTTACTTTGATGACTTTTTTTCCCCTCTCTTGACCACTACTGATATTCTTCTGGTGTTAAATTGTGTTGTTTACTAGGGGTGTCAATTCGTGTCGCGTGTCGTGTTTTGATCGTTTCTTTCTAAATTTGCAATTAACCCGAAAACGACCCGGGACACGAAATTTTTTAAAAACCGCAACACGAACACAACGATCACTTTACGGGTTGACACGGCACGATATGAAAATGACCTGTGAAACAAAATCGATCCGTGAACACGAAATTGACACGAAAATTGTATGCTTTTATTTAGTTTTTTACATGTTAGAAATAACTTAAAATACAATAACATCCATTTAAATTAAGCAAATAATAGTATAAGATTTTGAGTATAACTATCATGATATCACAAGTTCATAATAAAATAAAAAATATGTAATGAAAAATATATGTATTTTTTAGTTTTTTACGGGTTTCGTGTCGTGTTCGGGTTAGGTGGGTCCAACCCGAAATTGACATGTGTTTTTTGTGTCAATTTCATGTTGATCCAATTCTGACCCGAACCTCTTTTTTCTCAATCCTAACCCGCGAAATTCGTGTCGTGACCCATATTGCCGGCCCTAGGACATGACACGACCACTTTACGGGTTGATTTTTCCCCCTTTCTTGACCACTACTGATATTCTTCTGGTGTTAAATTGTCTTGTTTACTGTCCGTTCTACCAGCGAGCAAAGCATGTGTCTGTCTACTTGCCTGGGAAAGAG